AAAATATTTATAAATTGACAATATATAACAATTGATCTTTCTTTTTATTAATATGTCAATGATAAGTATTAATTAAAGAATCTATAAACTACTATATAAATCACTATATAATACTACATGAAGCTATATAACGGTAATAGCACTAATACCCGAAGTCTGTGCAGCTGACGATTCTTTGACATTTTCTTTTTATCATCTAAAGCATCTAATTCCGTTTTTTGAATAATAATAAATTGTAGCTAAAAAATATATATATTACCATACAAAATAATGTTAGTATTTGTTAGATGATAAGAAAAAATTTTATATTCCAAATTTTAAAGAAATTACCTTCTAATAACCACTCAGGTTGAATTTCCATTATTTGTGAGAACCAATTCATAAAAGAGAAGTTTACTCGAAATAATGAACTACTTGGATGAACATATATCGTTCTTCCCGGATCTCCGTATTTGACTTTTTGATAAGATTCTCCAAAACGCGAAATTCGAGCGGCGTTCATGAAAAACCCTGACACAATTGACTACAAAACCAACCCAATTAAATTGAGAATTTTTTAGTCATATCATATAATCAAACATATTCATTTAATGTCAAAATGATATAAAAACGATGCTTAATTACTTTTTAAATAGGCAATAAGTCACCCGAGTTTAATTCTACTTCAGCGCGTTCACAGAGACCAATAATCTGATCACGAACTCTCTTGCTCGAATCATGGAACGATAAACAATAAAATTTGGTTTCTACCCACTTAAAAATTTTTAATAAAATTAGATTTAATTAATCCTTGAATAATCTAATAATTTTATTTTGCAAAATTATAGTCATTTAGAAGAATGCCTACTTGTTCCCACACATTAAGTAATCTCCTCCGGACGCATGAAATTTTGATGAGCTTTATCTGCATGGAATTTTTTTGTCTTTAGGATGGCAGAATACCGAACTTTGCACATTAAGCATACTAATTATTGATATAACCTTGAAATAGATAAAGAATTTGCGAATTCAAACCAGGTTAAAAAAATATCTTTAAAATCAAACTACAATACTTCAAACGATAGCTACACACATTCTTACCTCTTCTGTACAATGTTACTTTTCTGTCCATATTACGGACTTTGATAAAAATGAGTCCATAGGGAATTCAACCATATGCCTTCCTAATTTTGTTAATTCGCCGTGATTGTTTAAAGCTCCAAGTGTCATATACATACATATATATTTTTACATAACATTAAAATTTTACATTCTTTATTGTATCACAAATGTACTACAATTTTTCATGATAATCTTTTTATCTTGATTATCAAAATTATCAAAAGAATCGTGACTATTTTTATTTATTATTATTAATATGTTATATTTTTTTCAAGTGATTTTGCACAGAATTCCTTTTTTGGATTTCTATGGCTTGTAAATTTTTTCAAGTGATTTACACAAAAACACCTTTTTTAATTGCTATTCCTTTACGCGTTTTTATTTTTATGAATACGCAACTGCACCAACGGAATTACTTCACGTGAAATAACAAAATAAAACTTATAAAAGAAGTCAATGTTGCAAAATTGAAAACTTATCTTTTTTTTCTCGTCCTTTCGTTTCCCTTGGTTATCTACTCCCATTTTGAAAGTTAAATTTGATTTATGATTTTATTTTCATAAGAAATGGTTACCTTTAAAAAAATCTGGCTATAATATGATTCTTATGATTTTATTTTCATAATGAAAGATTTCTCTTTTATATTTGAGAGAGAGACTATTCTCCACCCATTCTGAGGAGTTTCTCATGGGCTTTATGTCCGAACGTGTCAGAGTGGAAATCCTCGGTCAGTTTCTTAGTTGGAGGACATGCCAATTGGCTAGCCGTTAAAGTTGCGGTGAGTTCAAGACTGAGGCCTGGCCATTTTTTATTCCTTCATTCCCTCCCCTCCCGGGTTTTTGCTAGTTGATTACCGATCTCAATTAACTACGCCCCAGTTTTCTATGTTCCGAGTTTCCTGGGAAAAAAAACAAAGGGTTTTTGCTAGTTATTACCGCTTCTCAATTAACTATGCCCCGGTTTATGGTTTCCGGCAAAACAAAAAATGGGTTTTTGCTAGTTATTACCGGTCTCAATTGACTAGCCCCGGTTTTTACTAGTTATCTTTGGATCTCTAGTTTCCGGGTCACCAAAACTTCCTAATGGTTTGGGATTTCTTTTTCCCAGTAGGTTCGATTCCTACAAGGAAGCTTGACACACGTCATCTGAATTCTTTAATACGGCATGTGATAACTACGGATTCTCTAACAAATTGTGTGGAAAAATGTTCGAAGGGGAGATAAGTATATATTTCTTTATTTCTTCTTTTACCTAATTTTTTTTTTTGATTTTATTAATAATTACTATATGCATTTATTTTTCAATGAACTTTAGCAAAAGCACTGCGCAAAATTAAGTGTAAAAAAAATCCATAACATTAACTTTATTAATAAAGATTATCCAGATTTTATATTACAAAGAAAAATATCTATAAATTGACAATATTATATATATATAAACAATTGATCTTTCTATTTATTAATATGTCAATGATAAGTATTAATTAAAAAATCTATAAACTACTATATACATAAATCACTATATAACACTACATGAAGCTAACAGTAATAACACTAGTACCCGAAGTCTGTGCAGCTTGACGATTCTTTGACATTTTCTTTTTATCACCTAAAACATCGAATTCCGTTTTTGAATAATAATAAGTTGTAGCTAAAAAATATATATATTACCATACAAATAATGTTAGTATTTGTTAGATTATAAGAAAAAAAATTTATATTTCAAATTTTAAAGAAATTACCTTCTAATAACCACTCGGGTTGAATTTCCATTATTTGACGCATATATTTTTTACTTGTGAGAACCAATTCATAAAAGAGAACCCATTTCGAAATAATGAACTACTTGGATGAACATATATCGTTCTTCCCGGATCTCCGTATTTGACTTTTTGATAAGATTCTCTAAAACGCGAAATTCGAGCAGCGGTCATGAAAAACCCTGACACAATTGACTACAAAACCAACCCAATTAAATCGAGAATTTTTTAGTCATATAATCAAACATATTTCGTTTAATGTCAAAATGATGCTCAATTACTTTTTGAATAGGTAATAAGTCACCCGAGTTTGGATTCGGTTTTAATTCTACTTCAGCACGTTCACAGAGACCAACAAGCTGATCACGAACATCTCTTGCTCAAGTCATGGAACGATACATCAATTCATTGAATAATTGGTTTCTACCCACTTAAAAATTTTTAATAAATTAGATTTAATTAATCCTTGAATAATCTAATAATTTTATTTTGCAAAATTATAGTCATTTAGAAGAATGCCTACTTGTTCCCACATAAAATGATCTCCGGACGCATGAAATTTTGACGAGCTTTATCTGCATGGAATTTTTTTGTCTTTACGACGGTAGAATACCGAACTTTGCACATTAAGAATACTAATTATTGATATAACCTTGAAATAGATAAAGAATTTGCGAATTCAAACCAGGTTAAAAAAAAATATCTTTAAAATCAAACTACCAAAATACTTCAAACGATAGCTACACACATTCTTACCTCTTCTGTACAATGATATTTTTCTGTCCATATTATGGACTTTGATAAAAATGAGTCCAACCATATGCCTGTTAATTCAAGTGTGTAATATGTCATATCATACATATATATTTTTTACATAACATTAAATTTTATCGTGACTATTTTTATTCAATTATTATTATTATTATTAGCTATATTTTTTTCAAGTGATTTTACGCAGAATTCCTTTTTGACTCTTCAGACAGTGTAACATGATTTTTGTTAGTAAATTTTTCAAGTGATTTACACAAAAATACCTTTTTTTAGATTTCTGACTTCGTTCGTCATTACGCGTTTATATTTTTATGAGAAAATTTTTTTGCACCAACGGAATTACTTCACGTGAAATAACAAAATAAAACTTATAAAAGAAATCAATATTCGCAAAATTGAAAACTTATCTTTTTTTTCTCGTCCTTTCGTTTCCCCTTGGTTATCTACTCTCATTTTGAAAGTTAAATTTGATTTATGATTTTATTTTCATAAGAAAATGGTTACCTTTAAAAAAATCTGGCTATAATATGATTCTTATGA